ATATCTCCATATGTGAATCCGTTAATTAGTTCATATGTAAATCACACAGGTAGGGCTGTAAACGAATCGAACGTTCAGTGAACCGTTCGTGAACCGTTCGACGGGAAGTTCGTTTACGTTCGTTTTTTTAATTAATGAACGGACATGAACAAATTTTTTTGTTCATTTAATTAAACAAACGAACATGAACAAGAGTCTCGTTCGTTCATTTATGTTCAGAACGTTCGTTTATGTTCGTTTATATATTAAATTTAATATATAATCTTTTGTTTATTTACTTGAATTCAAATAATATTTATTTATGTTCGTTTAGCCCGTTCATTTAGCCTGTTCGTTTATGTTCGTTCGTTTATCATGTTAACGAACGAATATAAACGAACACGAACACACCTGATTTGTAAACGAACGAACACGAACACAAAGATTTTCGTTCGTTTACCGTTCGTGTTCGTTCGTTTGTTCGGTTAAGTTAAACAAACGAACATGAACAAGCTTCCGTTCGTGTTCGTTCGGTTCGTTTACATCCCTAGATACATTATCCAAAATAACACATTTCGGTAACGGGGGAGACATGTATCCATCAATGTTAATAAGCCCACTGCATATCAATGGTCCCAACATTAAGACCCCTAATGATCCAAGATATGCTTGTTCACTAGATAGTACACTGTAATGGGGGAGACATGTATCCATCAATGTTAATAAGCCCACTGCATATCAATGGTCCCAACATTAGGACCCTTAATGATCCAAGATATGCTTGTTCACTAGATAGTACACTGTATGGTCAATGGTTGTGGTTCAACTCTTATAATCCCATAACACGATGCCCTTAATACCCCAATGCATATTTCTAGCTACAGATGGGAATAACCATCCCACTAAAACCAACTCAAAAATTACAACATATGATCAATGGTTGATGTCTAACTTCAAAAGCTCGCACCATGATGCCTCCGAGGACCCAATGCCTATTACTGGCCACAACACGAGAACAACCGTCCCATTTTAAATCAATAATGACTGACTCTTATGCCTATGAATTCATTGCATTACAATCTATATTACACAACCCCAAATGAATGACCATGCACTTAAAGCATATAACATTTCATAGAAATATGACATAACTGCCTATAACTCCAAAGGCTCCACATAGAGAAAAATATATTGGACAAATGTCCTCAAAACTCATTTGAGTCAAAATCAAAGAAAAAACTCAACAACTCAATTGACTATTCAATTAAAGTCATCATAAGTGATAAAAACGTATTTAACCAACATTTATGCACACACATGCTCAAAAAGTATGATTAACTCAAAAAACCACCATTGTCATTTTCCTAATGAAATCATACTATTTATATCACCAAAATACTTTATAACACACTAATTTGTATTTTCCAAGTGGTTTATAAAAGTAAATTAATGACAAATAATCTCCATTTATGTAATAAATCATCAAAATGACAAACTCTCAAGATTTATATACTAATGTGCCCAAAAACCCAAATACAGGTATCTCAAGAGATTTATAAAATCAAATATTATACCAAATATGCAAAACTTATCAGTAACTCACACATTTGATAAATATCAAGTAAAACACATTAATACATCATAATGGACATTTTTGACATGTACAAAGTTTTCACAAACAACTTGAATTCACTTTCCTAGATTTATGCTAAATCTAGATTCTAAACTAGGTATCTAGCTTCGATTACTTTAGATCTTCAATCCAAACGTCCATATCTGAGTTGCAATGCCATCAATAATATCTCCTTTATTCCCAAAACATACACAGATACGCAAAGAAAAGGATGAGGGTTGTAGGTGTAAATGGACCAACCACACCGTAGTTTCAAGAGATGATAGTTAGATCTTACCTTTAGCTTCTAATGACTTCAAACCACAAGAAAATTCTACAAGGTCCTCAAGAGAATTAGACCTAAGACCCTAGGAACACCCGATGTCACTACAAGGAAGAGAAAGGTTGGGGATGCAAAGAAATCAAATCTTAGATCTTGAAAGGTGAACTTAGAGCCTTCACTTCCTCTTGATTTCTACGAGCTCTTACAACGATCTTAGTGATGGAAGAGAGGGAAGAAGAAGAAGAAGAAGAAGAAGAAGAAGAAGAAGAAGAAGAAGAAGAAGAAGATAACGAAACAAAATGGGAAAAAATGGGTTTTAGGTAATAAAAAAACGGGTTTTAAGGGTCTAAGGTAGCGTCGGGCGACCTTGCCCGCGACCTCAAGTCGCGACACGCCACACTTTACACAACCGCACTAGACAGAAAGATACACGACATAGGCAACGACCCTAGGTTGCACACCAGGTCCCGGGGAGTCTAATTTTGTCGATTTTCCCTTTTTGATCCCAATCCAAATCCCAACTTTTCCAACGATATTTTAACTAAAAATCGTCGTAGTTTAATATCTTAAATACCCAGAGATAATGGGTTAATCACAAATAGAAGCCCAAAATTTACGGGTGTTATAGAACGTAACAACCTTCATTCTCTTTCTTCAGTCATTATTTTGGTGGGTTGAAGATGTGGTAGGGGATGGTCAGACGAGGTTCACCGTTGAAGGAAAGGAGGTGGGAAGGGGTGGAAGAGACTATGGGGATGGCAATAAAAGGTAGGGGAGAAGAAGAACGGATTTTGGAGGAGGAGCTCGAAGTAAGGGCCACATGGATTCATGGCAAGTTTGTCGAAGGTTGAGATTTGCGTGAGGGGTGCGGGGACATGCAATTTGTTCCTGCACACACTTATGTACATAATATAAATATAATAATAACCAGGGTGGGAACCACGCGTTACGCGGTAGCCTGAGTAATTTGAGTAGTATTGTAGATTGTATATATAAATAACTGTTAGTTGTTAAATACGGATGAGAATAGTTATTAGGTAAATGTCTAAATAAAAACTTATTAGGTATAGAAAATAGTAAGCATGTGTATGAATAATATGAAAATATTAATTGATCATTAATATAAAGTAATATAGGGAATAATTCTTTATTAAAGATTTAATGAATTTATAAATAACATAAACAAATATTAAATATGAATTAATATAAATTAATAAGTTATAGACCGTAAATAAGTTTTTTAAATTCTAATCAATTAGTGTTTTAAATAAAATTTAATTACAAATTCATAACTAAAATTAATTGATCATTAATATAAATTAGTATGTGACAATAATAAGTTACTAATTATTTGTATGAATAATATAAATGAATTGTCATTACAAATCAACGCTATTGAATCATGAAACTATAAACAATTCAAAAGTTTAAATTAACAATATAAATGTGTCACTTTTATTGTAATTAACCTTATTGAATATGGTCAAATATATATTGATATTGATGCCAAATTATTGAAAAAACAAAAAAAATCTATTGGTAAATTTATGCTAATATTGTATTTTTGACAAAGAAAAATACATCAACTTCAAAAAAAAGGGACAAAAACATTGGAATGCAATCTTACAACATGTGTTGCTAACGCTGAAAGATTAATTTTCTGATATAGATGGAGATTGAGTATGTGCCTTTTTTTCTAAAATATGAGGGATTTTATTTTTTCTATACCTTACCAACGTGCGATTACATCTGAAAGCTTGATTTCAAGTAGGAATTCAGTCGCATACGTGAATGAATTTGTTTGAAGTATATATAATCCATAATAAAAGTTTAAATAATTGAAAATCTAACAAAAAATGAGAGCATAAACAAAGTTTGTGATTATATTCGTATATCTTGATGAGCAAGTTTTCAAATTGTTGTTTGAATTAAAATAAAATGTATTTTTTTTACCAAATATCTAAAAGAAGATAACAATACCTAAATTTGTCATATCTACCCGACAAAAAAATCTCTTCTCCACAGTCATACCCAAAATAATCATTCGACATAGCAATTACAAATGACATAGAGAGGTAAATGGTGAAGGATTTGGAGATGGAGAGAGAACATAAGAAATTATGTAAACAAAAATGTAAAAAATTGTTTTTATTGACTATTTTCATAAATAAGGAATATGTTGCAAGCCCCTATTATAAAATTGAAAAATAAATGAAAAATTACCAACGATAATGGAAGATTTAGGATAACCAAGACTCAACACTACAATATATAAAAATTATAAATATTTATATTTAAAATAAAAAAATTGTATTCTTTAAAATAGAAACAACAAATATACAAAATGTATCAATAAGAACCGCATAAGATTACGTTATCAAGTATTTAAATTGTAATTAAAATAAGTAATTTAAATAATCTTCATATTAAAAACCATTTGACATGATAATGCTTGAGAAAATTGGAACCAACATCTTCATATATGTTGTATTAATGGTGGTTTGAGCGCTCGTTCAGACAAAAAAAAATACTCAAAATTGCCAGCGTCTGTTTAGCTCTTTTACCTCAGTGCCACGGGGATTGGTAACTTCTTGACCAGTTTTCTTATCTCACTTGTAGAGAGAACCATAGATGGTTGGATATCTGATAACTTGAATCGAGGCAACGTTCATTGTTTTTACTATCTTTTTGCTGGAATTAGTGTGGGGGATTTTGTGATATACATCTACGCTGCGAAATCCTATGTATATAATAATCGATGAAGAAGCTTGTAAAGTCGATGCAATATAACATGTCCAGGTGTTATCAAATTTTAAAGATTCGGTGTGAATATATTCCGGTTCAAAGATTTGTTGTATATATGGACCATTGGGTGTACATATTAAACAAGGCTCGTCGGTGCTTACCAGAGAAAATTTCAGCTCCAATCATCGGATTTACAAGAATTAAAAAATTGCATTTTCAACCCTTCAAATTGAAGCCCATTTTTACAAAGTATAATTAGATTAGACGCACACCAAATTGAACTCAAACTCAAACTCAGAAGGGTGTAAAATGCAATTTCACAAAACAAAACTAAATGTTGCAATGATGTGGATTTAGATTAAGATTATATATGTAGGTGGGTCAGCACATCACGGAGGAGATGGAAAGTGGGTAAGGGAAGGTGTTGGCATACTGAAACGATATCGTATGTCCGTTAACCAGAGGCTTCCCGTTGTTAACAAGGCAATCGTCGTAGTCAAGGCGCTTAAACAGTCGGGGGTTGATGAGGCGAGCAGAGCTGAACCACCCACACGATAGGTGGATGTTGGAGATGTCACAGCCGGTGGTGCACATGTTCACAATCTCCACCATGTACATCGGGATGCCGCTTGGGAGAGGAGAAGTAGGACCCTGGTTAATGATTATATCTGATTTCGAACATTTGTCTCCCCAAATTCGGTTCGGTTGCACTTTAGCCGCTTCTGCACACGTAGAAACAAAAACAAAATAATGAGAGGGATGCGATGCTTTACTTTACATAAAAGGGGTAAATATAAGTGAAAAGTCCATATGTTTCCTACAAAATTCCAATCGTGGCGAGTACAATAACATTTGCGCATCATATCAAAATAATTGAATTAATATGTTATATTACAAAACAAAATCAAGAAAAAGCAATATCAAACCAAAATAATGAAACCACCCTACAAATCTTTTGCAAGAACCGAAGCATTTGTCTCAAATTTTTGTATTTCCTTCAAATCCATCAATCACGTTAAAAACATGTCTTTGTTTTATGTAATATAAATATATTTAATTCATGTTTTCATTCTTTCTACCGAATAAATTAGTGATGTGGATGCATCTAAGTGGTAGACATAGAGGAAGCAGGGAAATTTGGATTTTTTATACGTAAAAAGCAACGGTTTGGATGGCATCCAACTATTCATCTCTTTCCTTCGATTTATGATTTGGACGACACATGAATCGCTCATAATTATGCATTGCTTTCGAACCATAAACAAATTTTTTTCTTCAATGAAATGAATGAAGCTAAGATAGATGTCCTAAATTCTTACATCTCATTTATGTCCATCAATCATATGAATACATATCATCATATAGATCAAACATATGATTTTGAGAAAACTAGATTTTTATCAAATGATAAGGTAGTCATTTTAATGCATTTAAGATATACCCTTTTGACTTTTTTAAATTAATTGGTTTTCAAGAGGGGATAGATTACACATATCTTACAATAATTTTGCATTTAATTAAATTCTTTTTGTCGTTTATTGGAAAACAATCCATGTTTAGTTGTTTACAATATGTGTGGCAGAGGGCAAAAAACCAGTACGTGCACCACCACCATTTTATACAACAGAAACTGTACCAAAATCACACCATATCTGTAGCCCTTATGTCGTTGCAACAAACGTGCAGTGCTTGGAAAGAAATGGCAGCAGATAAGCACGGTGGCGCCGGAGCACAGATATGGAATTTATTTCACGCTTTATTCTTAACAGAATATATATGTTTCTATATTGAATGGAGGAATTGCATAAGATCAGAGAGATTTATTTACCGTGACTAAGAAGAAGCTTGCGATTGGGACCAGAAACTTTAACGCCGTCGAGGTTAGTACTCTCTGCATCCTTAAGCGTACTGCTCGGATGCTCCACCATTAGACGGCCATATTGCCTTAGGCCTTTCAACAATAACCACAGTGGATGTATTGATGTTTGTTATAAATTCAATCCAATGATGAAAATTCCAGTATCGAGAAAATAAACAGGAAACTGGAATCTAACATATGAATATTGATTAATTTACAAAATCAATGGTAAGTTCGATGAATAACACACCTGTAACGAACGCAATCACTGTAATCATGAGTAGTAATACCGAGATTTTCTCCATAACCAATGCGATATGCCGCCTTGACGATAGTTCTGTCTTCATCTAACGAAATCTGTAAATTCTTACGAAGGAAACTGGAGCTAAATCCTGTTCTTCCACACGAATCAGATAAACCTGAGTTGAACCGGTGCTATCGATTTTGACTCGGACTAAACTCGGAGAAGGAATTTTGGAGTTGCTACCATTATCGTTTTACAAATGCGAATACTGTAGTGTAGGCTGTAGCGAGTGAATCTGGAGGATTAGACGGAGATCGCGAAGGAACCGAAAGAGATTGAACGATCGATGACTTGTACAGTAGAAATGATCACTGCATATTATATATTATTCCGTAATATGTGAGCATATATACATCAAATCAATTAAACTTCATAGAATTAAAAATGCAACGAAAAGCTCTACCGCCGAATCTGGCTGTGGTTTGACTAAAGAGTCTTATCTTCTGATTTCCTAATTATTGCAATGAAAAAACAGCTTGCCAAATATGTGATCAGAAAGCAAACATTCATCTCGATTAGAGAACCAAACCAAATCAAAATGGAAAGTTTTCCGACCAAAAATTCACTGAACTTTCCAGGGAAAGCGCCGTTTGAGACGAATTTTTTCGGAAACAAACAAACACCAACAGATACAGTAACCGTAAGAGCTTAAGCACGAAAGAAGTCAGAACCGAAAGCATTAAACAAGGTACCACCAATATGAATAAAGTCGCTGCTATACCTCATATCAGAGACACAAAAATGGGCCGCAAAGATGGTTGAGAGCCAGAAACAAATGCATGAAAATAAGAAGAATCAAAAAAGCTGAAATGAAATGGATGCAAATAGTAAGTTGTGAGATTCATGGCACCTTTGAATCTCCCCCCGAGAGAATGATCCTGAAAATAATCAGCTCCGATCAGCGTGCATGTACGCAAATGTATGTATAGGACTGCAGAGAGAGAGGAACTTTTTTAGAGAGAAGATAGAGGGAGTGAGGGTTTCCAAAATCTTTGTGGACGTGGGTTATATAGTGGGAGTGGGAGGGAATGTTGAGAGAGAATTTTTAGTAATCAATTATCGTTAAAATTTAAAATTATCATTTATTTATTGGGTAAGATTTTATTCATTAAAATGCATCATATGTAACAATTTATCTCGGTAAGCACTAATCATGGTAAGAGTCATCGTCCTTACTTACCGGGGAAGACTCTCAATTCTTGTCTTCACTCTTACCGGGTAAGATTTTTAGTCTTTATCATATTCATCCGGTAAACTAAAATGACTTGGTAAGCGCTTATTCGGGTAAGCGTTTGATAAAACGGCACCTAAAAAATTCCAAATATGATAATAAATAAAAGAAATCTTTAAGCAAATATGGGACCTTACACAAATTTGTGTATAGAAATAAGTTCTATTGAAATAGATAAAACATTTTCTTAGCTAAAATGGGAATTCTCTTACAAAAGAGGCTAAAAGATGAAGTTGATCGGAAAGATTAACTATTTTAGTCAACTTTCCCTTTTTAGACAATTTATTTCCATTTTTTATCGTAATTATCTGATATTAAATAGTCTGATTAGTATTTATTCCAACGATATCTTCTAAATATAGGAATTAATTACAAAATTAGAAATAATTAAAGGATTATAGTACCCCATTTAAAGTTGATTAAACAATAACATATAAATTAAAATATTTTCATTAATAGTCCGAATTTTAGATATTATCAAATATTTAATGGATTTCTTTTTTTTTTCTTCTAAGAAAAAAAAAAGCTTTAAAATCATTGAATAAATGCAAATCCTATGTTTAATGGTATTTTCGTGAAAGGGATTTCGATGAGTGAAATTGAATTTAATTTTTTATAGATAATTTACAATATTAAATTATATATAATTATAAAAATAATTATCTTTATTAATTGATAATTACAAAATAGATTTTTTTAACAGATTTTAAAACGTTATCACAAACAATCCTATGAAATCGCATAAAAAACTATCTACTTTGTTGAATATCTAAACCCAATGCTTGTAGGATTACCCGTTGATATTAGTTCGTGACTTTTCTTTAAACCAAAGATGGAATTAGAATGAAATCCAATTCCAAATCTCCAAAATAATCAAACCTTAAAAAAATTTCAAACGACATGACAAATCCAACCATTGCTACCACCACCAGTACCACAACAACCGTGGGCATTGGTGGTACGGGTGTGCCTCGGCCAGGTTCACAGTGACCAAACCAAAATTCTAATTGGAGTTCGGTTATGGAAACCGAACCCGAATTTCAGATTCCGGATTATTTAGGGTTCGGGTTGACCGAGTTTTGGGTTGAGGTCATTTGGGTATCGGGCATAGTTGTCATGCAAAAAAAATATATTCAATTAATTGAAAGGATTGATAAAATTGATAGTAGATTTAGAATATAAACAAGAGTAGAATCAATTGCCATTTACGATTTTCAAAACATAATTCGATAACTAAATATTTATATAATATTTAGAATATATATGTATATATATTTTGGGTTTTCAAATGGGTCGAGTGGGCCAAAAATCCATATTAAAATCTCGTGACCAAATAAAAGGGTCTTAAAAATTAAAAACAATTGGGTTACACAAAGGCTCGATGGGTCGATGACCCAATTTAACCAAAACTAAACAAAAGTCCAATTGGGTTTAAAATTTTACTAATAAAGAATGGTTTGATCGAAAAGGGTTACGCACAACTCAACCCACACAACCCACAAATTACGCTCATGAATTCAATCCAAACTAATCGAAACCCAGTCGGGTTTTAAATTTTACAAAGCGGAAATGGTTTGGTCGAAACAAGGGAATGCATCTTTGCGGTAGTAAAATTAACTTCTCGCACATATATTTCGTCTTTAATTCATACGTTCTTAAATTACACATTAAAAGTAAATGATATGTTCTTAACATGTTTTATATTGGTAATTATTTTGTATTAGATGATATGTTTTATGTTAGCAATTATCAACAAAACTCATGTGGAAATATTGCAACATGTATTTACTTGTTATTTAATTAATTAATATACTTAAATTTAAATAAAGTATTGTTTCATGAAATATATAAATACTTGTTTGTTATTTGTACAAATTTGAGACTAAGGGGTTGTTTGGCAATTGTTGAATGGTTTGGTGCAAAATGATTAAGAGGGTCTCATGATATAGTGCGAAATAAAATATAATTGTTTGATAATTGTGTACAATGAAATTAGGGCTCTTAATAGTTAACGGAGATCCATGATACAAAATCATTCAGAATGTTTTAAAACCATTAAGAGACATATTTTTTTTTTGTTAAACAAGATACACCTTTTAGCGATTAAGAGGTAAACAAACAACCCATAATTTCTATGACCAAATCAAATTTGAAAAAACGTGAGAGTCGGAGAGTTTTAAAATTATCAATGTTGATTTGATTCAAAAAAGTACTGAAGCGTTCTTTTTCGTATACTTCGACTTCTGACTATTTAATTTATTTAACGTTTGTTCATTGTTTATTATAATTAAAATATAACTTAAATTGACGATTTATTTAGATAAGTAAGTGGAATTTTTCAATAGTTTGGAAAACTTGTAAATTTCTTTATGCCGCCTTTTAAGGAAAAATCAAATCGCACGTGGTTCTCATGTTGTCTGCTCGTTTGGTTTCTAATCTCAGTTGTCTAAATAGTAATAAGGTTTTTTGTATTTTTTAAATTAGATAATAAGTTAATAACTATTTTAAAATAAAACTACAAGGGTGGTGTCTGATTGGTTTGAGTTTGGGCTCCAAAGATCAAAGTGTCTGGAGGACTTATGTTCAAATTCAATGAGGAATAAAAATCATCTTGTTGCTATGGAGATTCAAATGCGGTGACTCTGGGCTACCCGCAAAACAGGTGGGCTCCTTGGTATTAGTCAGCTCGCATAACGGATTGGATGTCCAGGTTAATAAAAAAAATATTTTAAAATAAACGCATATTAAAGTATATTCTTCATTTTATGTATGTTGTATGAAATAAAAATTGGATTTTGTTATTTTGTGTCTTAATCCATTATTATTAAAAAAATAGAAAAAATGAAAATGATAGAAATTAGGATTGTGAAACAATTTTTATCTCTACATTTTAATCTAAAATGGAAGTTTGGGTTTGTAGGGAAATGGGTTTATTGTATTATAATGGAAAGGTACTCGCGCAATGCAGCGAAATACATCTTGATTTTAATGTTTCGTTCTATATTTTGGGACTATTTGTTAAAATGCGATTTAATGTGGTTTTGAGAAAAATGAAATGTTTTTATTTTTGAATGAAATATAAATTTGAAGATAATATAAAATTTTGAAAAAAATAATCGATATTAGTATAAAATTAACTATTTAAAAGTTCTCATTTTATGTAATTTATTTTATCCAATTTTTTATTATAATTTAATTGAAGTTTAATAACGAACTAATTTATTTTTGGTTTAATTAAATAATTCTTATAAGATAATTATTTAATAATTCTGTTAAAACTTAATGATTATCTTAATTATATTTTAGATTTTTTTATATTTATCATGTATTTAATTATGTTTATCTGCAATCAGTTACACAAATTCAAATATGAAACTTTAATAAGATGTACCCATGCGCATTCTACTTGTAATCTTGAATTTTAATTAATATGCATCAATAAACAGTACTTTTTACATAAAAAATTGTTTTTAAGAGTTTTTGTCAAATRCTTTATAATATAGTATAGATAAAACCAAACGGTTTTTTTTTTTTAATTCAGTTCCATTAACAAATGTTTAATACATCTAACCAAACACTTTATATTTTTCCCTTTAATATACTAGAAGTGGCACCTCTTTAATGAAGTGTAATACATTTTTATTTTGTCTCTCTCAATTTTTTAAGTAGTTTCCAAAAAGCTAAAAAAATGTTTTTATTGATTATCAGTATTATGGAAATATATTGGTATAGCAGTACAGATTACCTTGTACTTGGACACATGTATCAGTTGGTTATTATATAGTTTTATAAAATTCAAAAGTATTAATAAATTTTAAATATTGTATAGTATAGTAAAATTATTGTATGGATACTTGCATGTGAATAAACTCGTGATTGAAATTTTGATAATCGGATTAAAGTTAGAATATATATATATATATATATATATAGGGTTGGGTTCACGTGAGACCAAGGGTTTTTCGTGAGACCCGTAAGATCAATTTATGTGCATTGATCAACTTTATAAGCTAATGATCTAAAGTTGCATGGTAGCAATTTTGTGATTATTGAGAAGTTTCGTGGTAATTTTGTGATTATGAATGTTCAGATTGTAGATCTAATCCAAGGGTTGAGAATTGATCTTATGGGTCTCACGAAAAACATTTGTTCTCACATGATTCCAAGTTTTAAACCTTATATATATCAGATATATTTGATAACAAACCTTATATATATCAGATATATTTGATAACAATTCGAAACATGTTAGGATGAGAACAACACTTTTTATCATTTAATTTCATAAATAATTATTCAAGAACAAAGGAATTTAAAAGGCGATAAATGTTTGGGTATGTTTTGAACGACTTTTCATAAGTTTTCCTTCTATTTCAATTTTTTAATTTAATATATTAATTTACAATAAAATATAATTTAAATTGACTTATTTTTGTAATAAATGGTAACAACAAGAGGTATAGATTCGTGCCCACAAGTCTAAAATCATCATATTAACAGAAATATCTAAAACTGCCATATTCATTCCGACTGCTCATCCAACATCCTTTTCGTCGTGAGCCCAATTAAACTCCATATGGGCATGGCCCGATTTTGAATGACTCAATTGAAATGAGCTCGGTTAAACCTGACTTACCCATTTCAACGCAAACATTTTGATAAGTTCAATTTTTATTTAAAATTTCAGATAAGTGTTTATCTGTAAGAGCGTCACTCTCACTTACCTTATCGGGCAAGATTCTCGTCAATCAAAATCGATCGTCGGTAAGTGTTTTTTTACCAGGTAATAGTCTTCTCCCTTACTTACTAGCTAAGATTCCCGATCCATGTCATGTCTATTACCTGGTAAAATTCTAGACATTTGTCATGCTCACCTTGAAGGTAAGTGACACCTAATAAGCATTTATCTGATAAACGTTTGGTAAACGGCTCATAAGATCGATATAGTGATGCGTACAAACTACCGTCTATGTTATTGATCATTACCTAAACCGAACTATTAAAAAACCAATCATTTAACCCTATGTTCTTTAATTAACGATCATTTAAAGAATGTAGAGGGTTGTTAAAAATTTAGAAGGATAATAATTTCATTAAGAAAAGTCAAGCATAACGTTGACGTCAGGATATAATAAACTCATTTTTCCAATTAAATAAAAGGAGAAATAATATTTAAATGAAAGATGAATTCATATGATAATCTACAAAAATGCCAACCTTATAAAATAATTGGTTTAAAGTCAACAGACTAAAATGCAAAATTAATATATTAAAATTTATTAGTATAAGGGGTCGTTTACTAAATACTTACCTGGTAAGCGTTTATCGGTAAAATTTAACACTATTATTTACTTATTGGTAAGATTTTAGTCCACCAAAATGGTATCGTATACAACAATTTACCCGGTAAGTGCTTACCGTGGTAAGAGTCATCCCCTTTACTTACTGGGTAAGACTTTTGGTTCTTTTTTTTTTGAAGTATATAATATTTATATATAGCAAATGCAACAAATAAACTCACACACTCTCATCACCTATAATGAGGTTTGCTCTTATTGGTTAAAGTTTTTTATCCTTATCATATTAATCCGGTAAGTTAATAATGTGACTTAGGGGCCGTTTACCAAACACTTGCCCGATAAGCGCTTGCCCGATAAGCGCTTACCGGTAAAATTTAACACTATCATTTACTTACCATGTAAGATTTTAATTTACCAAAACGGCATCGTAGGCAACAATTTACCGGGTAAGACTCTTGGTCTTTGTCTCGCTCTTATCAGGTAAGATTCTTGGTCCTTATACCATATTCATCCGGTAAGATAATGTGACTTGGTAAGCGCTTACCCGAATAAACGTTTGGTAAACAACTACTTAGTGTTCAGTTACCCAAATAAACGTTTGGTAAACGACATCTAACTGATTTTAGATGATTAGTTAATTAATCTGTAACGGAATTATAATATTTAAAAATTGGTTAGAATAAGTTATGTTCATATTTTCATTTAGTAATATATTTTTATTCATAAGTGTAATATCATTCACCATTATTAGACTTTTTCATTTAGGCTATCTCTGATAAATTAACTGATAAGATATTTAATAACTGATAAGATAATTGGTAGCTGATAAGGTAACTGATTAACAAATTATGTTTGATAAAAACTAGTTTATAAACATGTGAAATAACCAAAATGGCATCTTAAAAAATAGTCAGTTACAAATATTTTATAATACAATTCAAATAGACTTCTAATAATATAATATGTTAATTAATACAAACAATATATTAAAGAAATATTAAATAATATAATATGTTAATTGAAGGAATTTAAAATCGATTATTATCTATACACTATAAATTTTGAATTTGTTAAAACATATTTTAGAAAGATAAAAAACTCTACATTAATCTATGATTTTAAATAACGATTACATATGATATAAATAACAATAAAATTGGTCAACCACGCATATCTTAATTAATTAATATATTTTAAAAATATAATTAATATTTTCATTAAAATTATATTAAAATTATTTAACATATTTTAATTGTCTATAAAATAAGTATAATTTTAATTTTTGTGTGACTTTATTTTGAAATCTAAATATATTGAATAATAATTTAAAAAATAATTAACATAGTTAATAATATTTATAAATAATTATTATTGATATCTATTGTATACTAAATTTATTTAATTATATATAATTTAATTTTTATAAATAATTAATATTAACTTATAATTAATAATATTTATTTATAATTAATCATTAATATTAATCAAAAAACTTCTCATAAACTACTCAAAGTAGTTTATCAATAAGTTAACTTATAAACTAGTTTGTGTACATCAAAACGATCACCTAAAATATAAGCTAGCTCATAAATTAGCTTATGTTTGCCAAACAATACCTTAAAAGACTTCTGTTTCAATCCATCAAGAACTGATTTGGCATTGGTTTTCGATCTATGTCAATGACGTTGCATGGTTTTTGAGCCTTTTATTTTGATTACGGTGTACACGTTTCAAACCTTCATGCTAGATTCTGAATCGAATTAAAATCGGACAGCACATATATTAAAATTAGACATATTCATTTATTTTACACTCTTCTAGCACGGATTATATTAAATCTTCTGATGTCACGCATGTTTTCATTAAAAAAATGTACGTGTTTTTTATATCGTGACTATGAACGAATAATTGATAAAAGAAAATATAAACTAAACCGATTGGTGAATTCGATTCAATGAATACATACATAACACGTTTCATCGTTTGTTTGTTCGTTTGTTTTTAATTCAATAAAAACAATTTATGAAAAATAATTAAATGTTATTGTCATTTTCAATTGTTAGCAACAGGAAGTCAGCCACCCACTAGAGAAAGATGTTGAAGGCATGATGACTATTTCTTCTTTTTTTTTTCTTTTCTAAAACAAATTGTAATTTGGTTGACTTATAATATAATTACTTTTATAGTATTTTACTGTGAAGTTTCAAATATAAAAAGACGAATTTAACGAAAACAGACTGATCTCACGTGATACCAAGTCTATATAAAAGAGAAAGGTCGGTATATAATAATAAAAATAAATTACCAAAATATTGGAATAGATCACAAACCTTCACCACAACTTCATCTAATGTATATAATTTTATAATTATGATTAAGTTATCAAATTTAAGTTTAAAAATAAATTAAGGCAATTTGTATTAGAAATATTATATAATTAATGAATAATGATTGCAACTTCTTAAATCTCATCATTTTATTTTATTTTGACAGGTTTTTTAATTGAAGAAAAAAAAAAGGATTATTATTAAAAATAATAACCAGTTAATTATTCATTTTAAAGTTAAAATATTTTAAAATTGGCAAATATTATGACCAAACAAGTTGTACCAAATAATATCTATTTTTTCTCTTGTTATTTCATACTTAATTATTACTTTTATATGTATTAATCGAATATTAATTGGTGTGCATTTAGTTCCATGTTGACATATTATGCACGATCATATGTGATTCGATTATGTATACGAACATGATATTGGCTTATTAATACAAAAAGTATCGGTTTAAAGATTATGTATATAACCTTATGTTGCTTTAATATATATTTCCCACAAGGGTTGGGTTTTGGATCAATTCTAATTGTATTTCAACACTAATAAGGTGCACCGAGATGCACCAGATCAATTTTTTTATTAAACACCATTCATGGGTGGCCATTAGATTAAAACTAATCAAAGATTCAGATATCTTCTTACGTTTCTTACCGTAACTATCGTTCGTAAGTCCTCTTCAACTAAATACAATATTATATGTACTAAATACAATAGTTGATGACATATGATGAGATGACTTGGAGCGTTGACACTACTAAATACAATATTATATGGCGTCATGGCCCTCGAATTCAACTGGTTCAGCTCTTTCTTCAGCTCCTTTTCTATAAAATCCTTCGTCTTCCACACAGCAATCCAACCCTCCCAATCTCCATGATCCTTTCTTCAATCTCAATAATACCTTCACAAATGTTCATCACGGCCATCAAAACACAACCAGGAACAAGATCTATGTTCGATTTGGCCTACGATAGAGGATAGCTTCCTAGAGTTTCACATTTCCCCCAAATCAAACCCTAACTTTTTTTTTCCTTTTTTTCTCAATCCAAACTTACAGATCTTAATGGAATCAGCCAAGAGCAATTCCGGGAAGAAGAACTTTCTAGTGAAGACATGGAAACGGTGTCGTTCTTTTCCCCGGAGTCACAGCAGCAGAGGCGGTGTTTGGGGTTTGGCGAAGAGCAAATCATGGCACGGCAAGGAGATGATGCCGAAGAAGAAGAAAATGGCGCCGGAAGGTTTTTTTCCGGTGTACGTGGGACCGGAGAGACAAAGGTTTGCCATCAAGACAAAGCTCGTTAACCATCCTTTGTTCACGAAGCTTCTAGAAGATGCGGAAATCGAATACGGGTACAATTGTGACGGCCCGATATCGCTTCCATGTGCTGTGGATCTGTTCTATGAGATATTGGCAGAGATGGAGGCTAAAGATCATGTGCGGCCGCTTGAATGGAGTTTCGCCTACGGATCATGCAGTCCGTTTAATCCTAGCCGTCGATTGGGAATCTACGGTGCAGATCAAATGGCCAAAGGGTATGGTTCTTATGAACATCTTCAAACTACGAGCTTGTTTAAGATGAATTAAAATCGGTCAAAGCTTGCATCTCGTATTTAGATATGTATTAATAACCGTGTTTGACTTTGTTAAAGTGCACATGCATGCATGCAATCAAAATAGTATGCATTTTATGTTCTCTGTATTTCATATCATGATATATACATATACAATATACGTATATAACTTTCTCGTATTGATTAATTTGTAATAGGTTTGATTAAGAATAATCAAATTTATGTGTCATCTACCAAATGTTTACTAGGTAAGTGTTTATCGGATATATGACTTCTTTTACTGGATGAACATGACAAACACCGAAAATCTTATCTCGTAAGAGGCATAACAACGACCAAGAATCTTACCTTGTTATCCGGTAAGTGAGAGATGAGACTCTTACCCGTTATGCGTTTACCACGTAAAAGATACCTACCAGCAATTCATTTTAATGACTAGGAATTAACGATACCCGATAAGTTAAATAAGATGGGTAAGTTTTTGATAAACAACCTCTTAAATTATTGGTATACTTCAATTAACGATACCCGATAAGTTAAACAAACGCGAACCACTAGGGCAAGAGAACGTGGACTTTTTTACCTGACAGACATGTTAGATATTCTTACAGTTTAATTCTCATAACCTGACAAACTCGCTTGCCTGCTCTTACGATTTAAAAGTTTGACAAAACGAATAACCTTTTTACAGTGAACTTTTAAGGTAGACCATCATCAAACGCATAATACCCCACTTCTCCTATACGAGTCAGTGACCATTAATGGTGAACACGTTACGATTTGGGACCAAACCGCAAACCACACTGTATATACGGTTTGAACGTTTTTCGCAAATCGCATAGCATATGTCTCAAACTACAAAAAGGTACACCACGAAATGTGGTGTAGTTTTTGCGGTTCATACGCAAGGCGTTACAGGAACGGACCCAGAATTTTTTTTAAACAGTGACACCATTTGACTATAAGAAAAAATATAGCGAAAAATTTTCAAACAGTGGCACCGGTTGACTATAATAAACAAATATACGGAATTTTTTTCAATCGATGACACTATTTGACTAAGTAACAAGATTTGAATTTGGGTCTTGAGTGGAATAAAAGTCTTGCAAACTAACTTTACCAAATAAAACTTGTTCTCATTGTAGTTTCAAAATACATACGGTGGCACACAACAGATTAATACGGTTACACCTTTCATGAACTTAAATTTTTTTACCCTTCGACGGAAAAATAATACGGTGACACATGCCACCGTAACCACTATGGTAGGTCCGTCCATTACGCGTTACCAATACTTATAATAAGATCATAATTTTTAAACAAATTTGATGAACTATATATCCATGGTCCATACGACAAGAAGTTGTAATATAAAACCAAAAATTGTATAAAACAAATATAAAGAGTTACGTAATTAATCCAGTCATCAAATAAATTTAAAAAATTAACTTAAAAATAAATTCGTCGGTGGGTAGGCCAAGGTACAAATTGGTAACATCGTATGAGTAAAATAGGAAATATAAGAAAGTAATCATTTAAGTTATGGAATTTGGTGCGAGAGAGACATCTATCATAAACCACTAATTTATATTATATTATAAAGTATTTGACAAAAACTAACCAGTTTTTATGCATGAAATACTGTATATTGATGTATATTACTTAAAATTCAAGATTACAAGTAAATTATGCATAAGTACAACATATTAAAGCTCTATATTTGAATTCGTGAAACTAACTACAGATAAATATAATCAAATAGAGGATAAACATCTCATTTTAAAATAAAAAAGTCTAAGATATAATTAGGATAATTAACGAGTTATAACAAAATAATTAATTATTATATTTATAAGAAAATTATATTATTAAACCAAATATAAATTACTTCGTTATTAAATCTAAATTAAATTATAGTAAAAAATTTGAATTAAAAATTTACACAAAAATTGAGGAATTTTAAATAGTTAATTTGATATTAATATCGATAGTATTTTTGTCAATTTTTTATGATATTTCACGTTTATATTTTATTCCAAAATGAAAATATCATCACTTATTCAAAATCATATAAGACCATATTGTAACATCGACTGAGATAAAGAATAAAATGAAAAATTAAAAATCAAGATGGATCCCGCTGCATTGCACGAGTACCCTTCTAGTTTAAGATAATTAATGTTATTAATCAATAGAATAATAACTATTATTATTTATTAAATAAAAATTAATGCATTTTTTTAGAAAATTTCATACCTTATCTCGTTCTCTTCATCTTGTCCTGTCATATCTCCGTAGTAACTTACACACAATGCACATAAGATGAACACAGTTTAAACAATCTTATATATATATATATATATATATATATATATATATATATGCATGTTATAGAAAGTATAACTAAAACAGAAGTGAGAAAATATGAGATTTAGGAGAAAAAAATAAGAGAGAGGAGATAGAGAGGTTCCAAAATAATCATTGTCTTAAAGCCAATAATTAACCTCTTTTCACATTATTCTCAAAAACTATAATTACCTTAGAGCTCATATATGTGAATAAAGACAAAATAATTATATCTTAAAGCCAATAATTAACCTCGTTGATCTGTTGCTGAAAAGATCCCTCGTTGAAACCTTCCCTTGCTGATCCATTGTTGAAAGGTTCCATCGCTGATCCGTTGCTAACTTCCATCGTTGATCTTTCGCTGATAGCATTACCTACGAGCTTTTAAATGATGGACTATCAATAAAGGATCAGAGATGAAAAACCTCTTTTGCGCCGGATCAGCTAGGGAATTTTCCCTCGTTGATACTCTTCATTTTTGTAGTGAAAAAGATTATTCTACGTCTTATTTCAAAAAGCACTTCAAATTTTTTTTTATTTTCAAAGGAAAGTTTTGTAAAAAGAAAATACATATGGTGTCTGTAAATTGGAATGGGATAGATGGTATTTCAATGGGATTTCATAAGATTTGTCTGTTAAAATATTTTAAGATTATTAAAAATATTCAAGTTGTAATATTAATTAATTAAAACTAATTTAATTATCTTTTATAATTATTTATAAATAATAAAATTAAAATTTTCTATAAATTTATAAATAGAATCCGTCAAAACAAACATATTAATTTTTCTTTCTTTAGAAAAAGGGAAAAGTCTAACAAAAAAATCCAATAGACTTTATTGTTTGGAATGATTAAGTTCTCGGATCATTTTTTGGAACAAATAAGTTCTTAGACATTCCAAAACTTGTTAAACAACTCATTGGACTTTCTAAAACATGTTATATACATTTTTATGACCTATAAAACTAATTATCATAGAAAAATAATGGAAAAAGCATGGAAAAAAACTCAATAAACATTCATATTTTGAGCGACAAAGTCTTTAAATATTTTTTGAACCAAAAAATATTTATATTATATAAAATAAAAGATATATACCAAAAAAGTACTTACGTTTAAAAAAGATTATTGATAAAATTTATTTTAATTAAAAATAAAAGATATTATGTCAGTGATTTTTCAAATGAAAAAAAATAAAAAAAGATTTAAAAAGGATTACTGATTATATTTATTTTTAATTAAAAATAAAATATATTCCGTATATGATTTTTCAAGTTAAAAAAAAGTTTAAAAATGATTACTGATGAAATTTATTTTAATTAAAATAAATTTAATCAGTAATTCTTTTTTAAAAAAATTTAATTTTTCTTAGCTTGAAAAATCATTGACAGAATATATTTTAATTTTAATTAAAATAAAATTTATCAAAAAAATTTTTTAAATATAATTATTATTTTTTTGTAAGTGTAAGAATTTTTTTTTATTATATTTGTTCAATTTTATAGATCTATACTTTTTGGTTCAAAAAATGTATAAGGACTTAATCGTTCAAAATATGAATGTTCATTGGATTTTTTTCGGATTTTTTCTATTATTTTACCACATTAACCAGTTGTATAGGTAATAAGAATGTATGTAACAGGTTTTAGAAAGTACAAGAAGTTATTTAACATGTTTTGGAATGTTCAAGAACTTATTTGTTCCAAAAAATTATTCAATAACTTAATCATTTCAAACATTAAAATCCATTAGATTTTTTTTTATATTTTTTCCTTAAAAAAACCTCAAAAAACACGAACTTTTGGTGTCTATTTAAACAACTCCTTTGGTTGAAAAAAAAACCCAATAAATAACAAAAATTCCCACTTTTTTTTCCATTAATCATGCTTCTCCCTCCATTATATAGAAACCACTAGCTAATCATGGACTGCCTTTTCTGACTTTTATATATATATAATTTAAAATATTTATTGAATTATAAAAATGGTAATTATGATAAGAATAATAAATAATAACACATTTAATTATCAAATTAGTGAAAGGGGATCCCACATGTAACCTGTTTATAAGCTCATCCGCTTGGATAATTATATATATACTAGAAAAGTACTCGCGCAATGCAGCGAGACACATCTCGATTTTAGTGTTTTATTTTATTATTTGTCTCTGTTGATGTTATAATACGATTTTATGTGTTTTTAAGAAAACATTAATGATTTTATTTTTTAATAAAATATAAATTTGAAAAAAAAAATATATCAATGTTAATATCAAATCAACTATTTAAAAGTTCTCATTTTTTATGTAATTTTTTAAT